CGTTCATCGCTCCCCCGAGCTGTAGTCTGACCAGCTGGAGATATTTCCCGCCTTCGATTGTGATCAGCTCCTCGTGCCTTCCGGTCTCCACCACTTTGCCGCCCTCGATCACGCAGATCTTGTCCGCGTTTCTGAGACCGGCCCAAGACAGAAGAAAAAGGGGAAAAGTTTCATCGTTCAAATTTGTTTCAGTTAGCAAGAGGAAACGTCTATTCTGGGGAAAAAAAAAAAAAACATATTGTTCAGACGCATCCCCCCTTCCTCCGAGCGAGCCAACAAGGGAGAGACAGCACTCCTGCCGTTACAAAATTAATATGTCATCCATCATACCCAGAGCGCACCCGAGTACGGGTTTTACACTCTCATGGAAGGACGCACCCCACACAGAAATTCAACCAAGTCGGGCTGCCCGCACTCTTATCATCTGTCTGTACAGCAGAACGACCTCCAGGCAGCAGCAGCAGCAGCAGCAACTTACCGGATGGTCGACAGGCGGTGCGCGATGACGATGGTGGTACCGCGCTTCATCTCTAGGAGACGGTCAAGGGCTCCCTGCACGAGCCTTTCGCTCTCCACGTCCAGCGCAGAGGTGGCCTCGTCCAGCAGAAGGACGGCGGGGTTCTGTGCGCCAAAAAAAAGCGAAATGATAACGATTCACGTTTGAGTTGTGGAGGAACCGTATGAGGGTATATTTAGTACTTGCATCTACTTCCCTAAATACTTGTTTCGGCGAGGACAAACGGGGGTGGCAGGTGAACGGGAGTAAATTTCAGTAAACACGGTGGCTCACACTTCGCTGTGCGACGGCGGAAACAGCAGCGAATGAGTCGTGACAAAGAAGAACAAAAACACACAGCCAGCACCACTGCCACCACGAGCGGAAAGACATTGGCAGCGTGACTGCTGCTGTGTGCTCTTCGTAGAGAAGATGCATGACTTATCTGTAGACTATTAACAGACGGGACTTCCAAGTACATTGGAGGATGGAATAAACATGAACGACGCCTGCAAACACGAATGTAGTCACGCTTCACGACGGCTGCAGTGTCCTCCTACCCCCACTCACCTTAAGGATGGCGCGAGCGATCGCGATCCTCTGCTTCTGTCCGCCGGAGAGCTGCACTCCCCTCTCCCCCACGTCGGTGTCGAAGCCGTCGGGGAACTGCACAACGAAGTCGTAGGCGTTGGCTAGTCGCGCCGCTTCCTCCACCTTTGTTCGAGTTTCGAGACACGAGTTAATAAAAGAAGAGAAGTTGCATATACGAGCGAAGCAGGAACGACGACAAGGGGGGGCGGGGGGGGGGGCTACGAACTGAACACAACGTACCACTTTGCATAAAACGTCTTCCAGAGAGAGAGAGGGGGGGGGTCGCGGGAGTGGTACTTGTGCACCGACCTTCCTCCCCCGTCCCCCTACCCCTTCGGGCAAAGATATCCCAATACCGAACCGAGCCCTCTTGTACGGGTTTCGCACCCAAACGCATGCTTTACAAAACGTGGCAACGCAACTAAACTCGCGTGGTGAGACTATAACGCCATCGCACAGGTTGCGAGTTGCGGTCGCTCCTACTGTACTGTGCACTCCAATCACCACGCGAACAATGGGGTACGATTATATATATTCCCCTTATAAAAAAAAAGATGGGACTCGTCTTCGACGGATGTTGACGAGATGGGACCCCATTCAAACGCCCCCCCCCATACGTCTCCTATGGCCGGACAAGTAAGGCATGCAACACGTGGGTTTATCCCTCTCCTCCTTCCCATATCTCCTCTTGTGTTCGTCACCTCTCTCGTGGCTCACACCCACCTCCTCTCTCGTGGCCCCCTCCCTCCCGCACGCGATGTTCTCGGCAATGGACTGGGCGAAAAGCAAGGGCTCCTGCGAAACCAGCCCAAGCCTCGACCGCAACCACTGGATGTTCAGCTCCTGTTCGAAGGCACACAGCATGCGTTACCGCAGACAGGATGAGAAGGAAGACGGGGGGAAGGGGGGGGGGGTTGAGTGGGCAGCCGCTACTGGCATCATCATGACGAAGGGTTGGTAGCTTCATCCGTACCAAACTACTTCAGCTAGCGATGTAGCAGCAGTTACGTAAAGACTTAAAAATTCACTTCAGCGGGGAGAGCACGCGGTAATCAGATTGTAGTCGCCCAATGGTTCGGGAGGTGCCACTCGCTTTGTTTGTCGAGGGTCACCGGCACGTGCCTGCACACCAGCATACATTCACTCCTCAGCAGGAGCGGCGGTGCCGAAAAATGGCGAAGTTGGAACCGCCGTCTCGTCGAGAGCTTTCCACAAAATTGATTATTGGCATCCTCTTCGTCGTCGTGTGGACTAGTCGAGCGTAGAAAATCGGTCCAGGTGTGTGTGATACCTAACGTCACCTATGAGTCTCTACGCACATCACATGCATTGCTAATATCACCTTAATGTTGACCCCGTCCAAGAAGACGCCTCCTTGGTCAGGGTCGTAGAACCGCTCCAGCAGCCCCACCACCGTAGACTTACCAGCGCCTGATGCCCCGACCTATTCTCGCCGGGCCAAGAGAAATCGGGATCTACCGTTAGGCTGTGGCTGTGGGGTTAGAGCTGGGGGGTGGTTGGTCTGACAAAGTGGGAACAGCGGCTGTGCGAGTCTTCGTCTTCCTGTTTGGAGATAGATATATAGTGAAAAGCATCAGAACGCTCGACACACGGTTGTTTTTACTGGACTTTCCACTGCAGCACTCGACGTCATGCCCTGCATAAAGATACCCGCTAAACATGTCCCCTTACATGTCATGGCCGCGCTCGTCAATTGCACCGAGGAGGATCGGTGTTTTCGATCACCAACATGCCGAGGCAAGCAAACATTTGGCTAAACACGAATCGTGTCTTTACGCTAAATAGACTAAACGAGTCGCGCCAAGCAACAACAAACCAACTCACTAGCACCCAAATATAGTCAAACACACACAAGGCATAGGGCATTGTAGCGGACTGTTCATCTCCAGGAGCCGCACTCACGAGAGCCACGGTGGTGCCAGGCTCGACCTTGAGGTTGAGGTCCGTGAAGACCTTCTCCTTTGGGCGGGAAGGGTACGTGAAGTGCACGTCCCTGTCAATGATGACACACGGTGGCGGCGCGCAGCAAGCGCAGAAAAGTTGAGTTCACGGCGGTGCACAGCAGCACAAAAGCTTTGTCCATGACGGTTGTCGACACATCTCTTCGTCTGCCGAAGAAAACAGCAGGTTCCTCCGATGCCGTGAGCAACCAAGTGACGACGAACACAGTGCGGAAGCATCATGAACGCCAGGTGGATCGATTCGTCTCTCTGTCGGAGTGGCTGTCGAGAGCGCAGCTGCCAATTTCCCACTGTAACTGCTGAGCTCGTTGTATGGGCGTTAACCTGCGGCCCCGCTTCCTTTGTTAAGGAGAGGAGAGCCTCGCCTCCTTCCGCGCTATATACAACTGGCAGCCTCGCTCTCGGCAGCCACGCTTCATTTGTCCGTATGCCTGCTTGTCTGTCTGTCTGCCTGCCGCTGCCTGCCCGCCTGTCTGTCTGCCTGCCTGTCTCTGACTCTGTCCCGTCTTTGTCGCTGTCCCTGTCCCTCTGTCGGTTTGTCTGTCTGTCTGCCTGCCTGTCTCTTCTGCCCCTCCTCTCCCTCTCACCGGAGCTCCACCTGCCCCATCACCGAGTCCGGGTGTGGCTTCAGCCCCTTCTCCGAGCAAGCGTCGATCGAAGACTCGCGACGGCAGACGGCGAGAAGGTGCCCGGCCGCGCCGCGTGCCTCCGTCACAGCCTGGAGGTTTGGACCCATCTGGCCGATAGACTGTACAAGACCGCAAACGGGAAGGGGGGGTTGCCACAACCATTGCTTGCCTTGATTGACAGCCGATCTCTTTCGATAAGAAGCAGCAAAGTGTCTGCTCTTCTTCGAGCGAGCATCATCCCGGATGCCCGTTCGCTTCGTCAAGTGTGTCCCACAAGCTTGTAGATGGGAGAGATGGAAAGAAGAGGAATGGCTAAACTGAAGCAGTGAAATAGCCAAGGGGGGCGGGGGGGG